ATGACAGAACTAACCCCATTAATAGTTAGTGTTTTTGAATGCCACCTATATCTCTTTAGCGGTTCAACTCAGGAGAGTCAGAGGCTCAGAGAAAAATTTTGGACAGAACCTTCTAGAGAAAGAGCTTGCAAATGAGAGTGGTGGGAGTATCTTACCTTGAATTCGAGCTCCAAGAAACAGACACAAGCATGGCAAACACCCTTGGCCACGTCATGCTTGTAGAGGTACTGGCCATTGCAATTGACCTCATCAAAATCGAGGTCAACTCCTTTGTTTTCAACGATGAGTTCATCGTTCACCACCTTGGCCTCATCCCCGACGGACAGTGTGGGTATTGCTCCGTCAAGTTCCACCACAAAGTCCATTGTCACTCTGACCCTTTCGTCAACCCAGTCGATGTCGCCCAGTTAGTATGTAGAGACCAGTGGTTACAACGCTTCTGAGCAGAGGGGTATACTAATCGTGAAATTGCGTCGTGGGCAAGAGCTGAGGTGGGAGTGGTAGCTGGAAAGGGGATAGGAAAAGAGATTGGATCGAGAGCAGCCCAACAAGTGTTTTTCACATTGATCCCAATACTTATCAGGTTGTACTAGTTGACCCTACAGAAGTATACACTGACCATGATGAGGTGATAATGAAAGCAGATGCAATGGGGGAAGCAAGGACTTTTCAGATATATGGTAAAGAAAATAGTTTCATTTTCACTGTTAAATCTTATGTTTTCAAAGTGGGTCACCGGTTCTAACGGTTCAGATCGTGCCACGTCATCATATATATATATATAAATATATAAATATATGTGTGTGTGTGTGTGCGTGTGTGTGTGTATAAATATATATTTTATTAACAAATAATGCGCAAATATATTTTAGATATGTTATATATATTTTTATATTTAATTTATGTTTTTAATTATTTTTTATAAAAATATTAAAAATTACAATTTGAGGCTAAAAAAGGTTTTTTTTATGGAAATACCAGCACTTACCCAAAATAAAAAAAAGTCACCCCAATCGAATATCGAAGTGCAAAGTTATGGCCTTTGAAAGTTTGCATACATTGAGTGTGCAACCCGATGACTAGGTCGAACGGGTCAACGAGCAAACCGATCGGGTTAAACAATTCTTGGCCAAGTCAATGGTTTTTGACCATTTGACGGGTCCTGACTGAACTAGACCCAGAATCTTGGTCGGGTAACGATTCGATTGTCCAGGTCAACTACGGGTTGAAAACATTGGTTAAATCTATTGGTGCCATTAAAGCTTTATAAATGGTAATCAATGCAATCGAAGTGATTAAACGGAAATTGAGTGTAGTCAGTTTGTCTGAGGAAACTGAAGACGCTAATGATCAGTCCGGGTGCACACATGCATGGAGGATGATTGGTTTGATCACTTAAGGCAACATTAGATATAGAAGAAATGTTGATGTCTTTGGTGATGATTGGCACCGAAGCATTTCACAAGTGGGCCCTAATTCACAAGTGATTTGTTTCACTTATAGGTAAAAGACAATGTCTATTTGAAACCATAACACCCATAAGAGTCCTTAACAGTTGAAACTTTAAAATCATAGGTTTGGCCACCTCGAGCCTATTTGGCATGATCAGGTGCTAATACATACTCCGCTTTATACGGATTTTCACATCTACACGTAAAAGATGGTGCCCATTCAACCAATAGAACCCCCACAATAGTCATTAATAGTCAAAACTATGAAATTACATTTTTTACTAGCCTAACCTTGTCTATAGGTTTTAGGTGCCCAAACAAACATCGCTATCCATTAAACACATTCATTCAAAGAAGAAGGTTCCCATCTAATTGTTGAAACCCTCATAACAGTCTTTAATGGTCAAAAGTGCAAAATCACAATTTTTCCCAGCCCAACCCTATTCATCAATAATGATAAACTATTTCCAAAAGACCAATGTAAGGAGAATAATAACAAAAAGAAGAAAAATAAGTTGTCTAACTGTAACCATCCCTTCAGTAGCTAACTCATTGACTGATTTCATAGACTCAATCTGCCTTATGCAAACATCGAATGCTCTCTCCACATTTTCAAGGCGTTCCAAAACATCACCATGACTATTTCCCGATGTAACCTCATCCGACCAACCTTGAGGAATCGCCCACTCAAAAAATTTGCAACCGCCAATAGAATTGCTTTCAGTCGTTGGGCTATTCAGCACATGCTCCTACAAGTGCAACACATGTCATTAGCAATATACATACCTTATATCAATGCTAATAAATAATATCATCCCACTAAAAATATTACCTCGGATTTTAATCGACAAATATAAAACAAATTTTGTGGGCTATTCCAAGTTGTTGAAATTCGAACGATGCATTTTCGTTTGCAATAGCAAATGCTTAGTATCATATTGCAAACTACTCGGAGATTGATTCCCGACACTCCGTTGGCTATTCATACCTACAAATGTTCAATAACCCACAATAACGACATCCATATCTTAATCAACATTAAACACTTCATTTTCATTAGCACTAAACTAAGCAACATTCAAATATTCATTTACAAAGGTCCTTACGGCAATCAATAAAGGAAAAAATGTAACAAAGTAAATTGTCTGTAGTCGAGCTATGTCAACAAATGCATGAGTGGCCAAACCGAAATGAACCAAAAACACAGGGATCGTGCTGAAAACACGAAGGAACCACCTCCACAGTGGTTGAATGCAAGGGCTTGAGAAACCCTCCAATGACCGCTAAAACCAGCTTTGAGCATCCTGTCAATGGTTAACAAAAGGTGCCTCCGACGGATGGTGAACAGTAAATTGATGCTCCAGCTTCCTCTGAATGGTGAACGTTGAGTGTCGTCCATGGTCGGTGACCGGTGAACACAGGGGGATCTGAGAATGTTTCAACGTCTTAAATAAGCAAGACCGATGATAAAACAAGGAACACAAGTAGAGATGAAGCCCCGGTAATGAAATGGCGAACACAAGTAGAGATGAAGCTCCGGTGATGAAACGACAAGATGAAGCTCTAGTGATGAGTAAGAGATGAAGCTCCAATGATGAGAGATGAAGCTCCGGTGATGAAACGGCAAACTGATAGAGAAATGGCTCTGAGAAATTTTGAAATGGGGAACACAGGTAGAGATGAAGAGAGATAAAGCTCCGGCAATGAAATGACTCTGAAAATTTTCAAAATTGGGAAGCTTTGGTGATGAAACAGCTCTTTGAAATTTCGAAATGAGGAAGCTCCGGTGATGAGAGATGAAAAACTCAAGTGATTAAATGACTCTTAAAAGTTTCAAAATGAGGAAGGCGTTGTAAATTCGAAATGGGGAAGACGATTAACGTTTCATAGAGGGGTATAACGGGTATAATACTTAAACTTATGCTGATGTGGGGGGAGGGGAGGAGCCATAACAAATTTCGAATTTGTTGGCTGGATGGCTGGGGCTGGCATGGGTTTTGATTTCTGTACGTCTCCAATTGAAATTTCGATTTTTTAGGGAGAGTTTGCTGAAGAAACTCCTTTGTATAAGCACTTCTATTGCATTGACCACCATCTATAAAGCTTTAATGGCGCCAATAGATTCAACAGTGAAAATGAAACTATCTTCTTTAGCATATACCTCAACAAGTCCTGGCTTCCCCATTGTGCTTTACTTTCGTTATCCCCTCATCATCGTAAGTGTATGCCTCAAGATCAACCTTTATAACCTTATGAGTATTGGGATCAATGTCAAAAGCCTTGCTGGGGTACTCTCAATCCAATCTCTTTTCTGTTAAAGTGTTAGTGATCCCATCAAATCTTCACTAATATGAATATTTGGTTCATACATGAAAAGTCACATTGGGTGCAGGCGACCACTTTGCATGGTCTTTTCCTATCCCCTTCCCAACTATCGCTCTCACCTCATTCTTAACTCTTGTCCACGACGCAATTTCACCGTAAGTATACCCCTCTGCTCAAAAGCGTTGTAACCACCAGACTCTACATATTGGGCGACATTGGTAAGGATGACGGAAGGGTTGGAGATTTTGAGGTCGTAGCTGATAACGTCAAGGGTATGGCCGGAGTGGTAGTGGACTTTGAGGTAGAAATTGATAGAGCAATACTCACACTGGCCGTCGAGGATGAGGCCAAGGTGGTGACTGGTGAGTGGTGAATTCATCATTGAGAACAAATGCAATGGTCGAGATCTCTGCAAGCATGACGTGGCAAAGGGCGTTCATCATGCTTGCGTCCATCTCTCGGGGCTCGAATTTGAAGTATTTGGAAGCTCTCCTCTCAAAGGTTTTGTTCAAAATACCGCTCTAGTTCTCGCCCTCGGACGGCGGCCTCCAGGACTGATGTTGAGATGTAAGTGGCGTTGAAAAACACCGACTATTAATAGGGCACTTTTGTCATAACATTTAATGAACGCTAACTTGAGAGTTAGCGGTATGGGTATTTTCGTAAATAAATTGGGAGATGGCTGACGTATATCACGTCTGCCAAATTGAAGGGGTTGCGGTGGTATTTTGATTTTTCCATTGGGCTTCCATGGCTGTATTTTCTTGATACAGGTGTGAAGGGGTTTTCTTTTCTTCAAGGGGGGCTCAGAGTCATTTTCCCATTAATTAATTATATTTAGACCTTATAATTTTGTAGCCCATTTGTTAAGTCTTAGCATTTCTTGTAGTAATAATATAATTGTTGAACAAGGTAATTTAGACATTAGAAACAGATTTCCATTAAAAAGTGGTGCTGCCCAGGTTCGAACTGGGGACCTTCAGTGTGTAAGACTGACGTGATAACCGACTACACCACAGCACCTTACAAAGTTTAAGTTTCAAAATTTTTTATCTGTTGCATTTCCTCTGGTTCTATACCTTGGAAAGGAGAAATCCCAAGCGAAGCGAGTAAACGAGTTGCCTTTTGTAACTGCATACATGGTTTTACCAACCCCACAATGAAAATTGTATTGGCAAGTAGACATGAGGATTGAAGATCGATTCATTGTTGGATATGGTGGAATAAACCCACAACAGATTGCTCATTTAGCTTGAGGAATTAGCATCATATTTGGAAGAAAAACAGAAATGTTTCACCGATGCCAGAGATTTACTACAATTTCATAATAAACAACCATTGAGAAAACAATGTTCCAGCCCATCATCCACTGAAAACAGGGAAAAGCGAGAATAGAAAAATTCATGGTATAATTGATGTGTAAGTAAAGACCAAGGGGCATCCAGAGCTTGTGAACAACCCAAAATAATCACATAACAAACAAAATATTATTTTGAGCTGGACTGGAAGACGCTCTGTTAGAAGAATTTTAATTTTCCTTTGGCTACAGAAGCTTTTGCCTCCTCCAACTTGCACAGAGCCTTCTTTGTTCCAGACAAGCCTGAACATGTTTCCGGGGTGCCTAGGGTGACAGCAAAGTAGAGATACACTGTGCAGAGGAACGCAAGGAGCACAAGCATCGTGAGCAGAAAGCGGTGCCGCTGGAGAAGAGTTGAACAGTTACCCAACTCTTCACGGGCCTGGATCTGCTTTCTCAATGATGATGAGGAAAATGGGTTTTGGGACCTCCTGTGTGGAGAAGATAAGCTGTCAAGAACCATGGTTTATCTCGACCTCCTGTCTAGGCAATACCTGGAGTCCTGCACCAATTCAGTCATAAAGAAAGAAATGTAAAACCTTAATATTAATGGGTTTCAGAGGCAAAAGCAGCATTGAATTAGAAAAACACGGGAAAAGTAAAGCCTAGAAACTTAGAGCTGACATAGCCCCCCTATTACAAGGAAAACTAGTATTTTGTCTAACATATCCCCTGAAGGTAGTTTTATTTCTCTATGTAATACAATGGGCGAATACAGCCAACAATTAATATTATCTTAGAGTTTTGTAAAGATTTTCAATTAGTTAAGGGTTCATAAACATAAAGATAACAAGCTAGTCCACAACTGATAATGAAATGGTCTCCACAACCATCACACAATTCTCCCATTGTATCACCTTACCAAACCCCTAGACATCAGGTATGAATAAAATGAGTTTGAATACCACATTTAAGAAATACAAGGATAGAGATCATAGACTCCTTTTCACAACCAAGGTTCAAAATATCGATGGGGCGTATTGGGCGATACCGATAGTGTTTTGTAGGAATTTTTTTTCAAAACTGATTCAGGGGGGAGGCGGTTTAAGGCTCCTCCACCCCCTGAACCAGTCAGAACCCCAATACACCCCCTGTAGGGGCGTATCGGGAAGCCACCGGCACGATACGTATCAGCCGACACGGGCCAATACGTATTGATACTTTGAACCTTGTTCACAACCATGTCGAAGCTTTACATGTCTTTAACAATTTGAATTAGTCTATAAGTTAATTTCCAATGTCTCATGACTGCAAACAACTTCATCCAAGATAAGACAAAATAATATAAAACTTCGTTTCCCTCATGAACTCCATTATCGTATCTTTTTAACCACTCTACCTCAAAGCAAAAATAGCAAGTAAATTGTTTTGCAAGGAAAAGAGGTGGATTTGGGTTATCTAAAGAGTGACATATACAAAGCTGTACGTTCATACACAATAGTACTTTCAAATTTCAAAGATAACACTGCTAATGACTATAGAAAGATCTCTCCAATGCATAGTATAAAGACTCTTGATTCACTCAATTGTCAAAATTATACATGGAGTCTCCCAAAAAAAATGAATGTAAAGGATCAGGGATAGAACCCTTAGAAAAAAAAATTATAATTTAGCACTGAGAGTCATTTAGTGTGATGTTATAATATCACTAAATGAGCATAAATTCAGATAAGACGAGCTCTTGATGCACTAATCCGGATTTAGAGCATCTTCTTTCACAATATCTGTGTAAAATTAACAACTTCTAGCACATAAATGTGTAAATTTAGTTGATCAAGAATATGATAGCAACATCGCCACTTCATCGTTAGAAAAAGGGGTTGTCATTCTCTTAACATCCATATTCTGCAGTTCTTTGGCCAGTAATTTCACTTTAGGCTAACAAACTCTTAACATTTTGTTTCTTGTAAGAATTCAATTATAATACTAAAGAAACACAGCAAAACAAAAAACATCTTTATGCTTTTTTCTGTTCACGATATCTTCTGGGGATGAAACTTACTCATGTAGCGATGTTTCAACAACCCAATTCCCTTATTTCTATTACGAATTTAATGATTAGTGATACAGCATAGCTTCTTCCAAGATCGAAACGCTAGGGTTCCAATTTCATCCAGACCATTATAAAAACCCAAAAGTCAACTTTTTTCTTGATTAGTATAACCAAAAACTATCATCTGCGAGGTTCAAGTCAACAGTCCACTTGCTCCCCGCCGAATAAAGAAAAGAAAAAAAAAAAAAACAAAAACGAGCTTCATGTCCACCTAAGTGCAAAATTTAGAAGATCAATTAGGGACTGCAGTTGAAAACATTAAAATCAAATTATAATGAAATAACTCATTTTTTCATGAGTAAAAGAATTAAAGAAAAAGGAAAATACTTTGCGCCTCAAACAAGATTAATGGATCTCCCACAGCTATCATAGAAACAAACGAATATTTCCCACACAACCATCCAAAAAAAAATCCACTGTCCATCCACAGAAGAAATTCAAGATTCCAAGCATCAAACTTCACCAAACCAATCAGCAGTTAATAAGCTAACACAATTAGATCAAAACAAAAATCAGAACAAAGGGAACAGAAATAAGGTAGACTTTACAGCTCAGATCTACTATAAAACTCCAAATAAACCCCCAAAAAAAGGAAAAAAAAAGGGAAAACCCTAGATATCAGGGAAGAACGCGAACTTACAGAGGAAGAATAGGAGAAGATGGAGGTGAGTAAACAGGTCGTCGCCCCGATCACAATAGAAGAAAGAATGAGAGACTACTTAACGTTACTGAATTTGTTCGTTTTTTTCCTGCGTCTCTCGTTCTCTCTCCTCTTCTTCCTCTCTGCGTCTCTCGTTTCCCGTCCCGATGTACGGAGATCCGGGCGAGGTAGACTGCTCGTCCACAAAACCGCGTATAGCGCGTGGTGTGCACAGAGAGGGAGGGGGGGGGGAGAAATAGAGAGAGAAGCGCCGAATGTATGTATTGATGTACGGAATCTGTGACTCTTCGTGATACCAAACTTGGGTTTGTTGGCCGTGGCCAATCGGCTCTTTTATTACTTCGTAGGGAGGGAGCCCACCACCTCAATTAGTGCGTTCCATCTCTCCTCCGGAAAGGATTATTCATTTATTCCCAATATTAATACGTTCAAGAGAACTCAGCTTTTGAAAGTTAGGTACACTCACATGCCACGTGGCTAGTTATATTAAAAGGGGCCCACTAGGTATGACAATGCATACGCAGACTCGATGCAGATCTGTTGACTCTCGTGTCACTGCGAGTAAAGTCAAAAACTATTGCCAGTGCCCAACCATGACTATGTTAGGCCCTATGACTGTGCTATTCCTGCTTGCGTTCCTATTGTCGATGGGCGCAACAAGAGTTGATTGCCAGTTTGCCCACGGTTGCTAAAAGAGACGTGTGGGCCCTATGACTATGTTAGGCCAAAATTGAAAATCCAAATGCATGTCGATTAACGGTATGGCCGTGGATAGGCATCTGTTGTAGGTACGAGGTCAAATCCAGCTTTGGAATTGGAATTTGCATGCCACGTGGCTATTTATCTTTAATGAGCTATTAAGCATGAAGTACTGTAAACCTCAAATTTTCAATGCAGAGAAGTTCACATCTGCTGGGACCAGGGAGATAAAGATCTACTTCGGCAAAATTCTAAATGCATGATCATAGGTGTCATTAGTCATTTAATAATCATGTTTTTCGAACCGCCGTTGATATGGACGGTTGGACTGTTCGGCCTAGAAATCGTTTGGGCAATCAGTTTTGTTTTATCCCAAATCTGATTCCTGACTAAAAATAATTGAATTGGTCAATGATTAGTTGATTTGGGTGATCAAACCATCAACATGTTTAATAGCTTTTTGCTATTTTTAAAATTTTTAATTTATTTTATCAAAACATGCCATTCATTTGGATTGGATGGTCAAATTGTTGACCCAAAAACCGGTGGCTAAAACGGTTCTGATTTCAAGTCATTTTTTAAAACATTGGTATAAACTAGTTAGGATCGGTGTTTATTATAAGCAAAATTGAAGATGGAGCATTTTCAATTAAGTGGTGTTCATCTAATTTCAATTCGAGTATTATTTTTTGGGGTTTTGTCTACTTTATCCAATTAAAATCTAAGTTGTGTTTTAGTGAGAGTGGTCAATTTCCTATTCTTTAGATAAATTTGTATTTTTTTGTATCTTAATGTTTTTTTTTTTTGAAAAAGAATTTGTATTAACTTTTATTAGATTATTATTATTGTATTATTTCTAGGTAAAATTATAAAGAAGCATCCTCTTAAAACAATTCTATAAATAAACCACCTTTGTGCTTTGACCCTAACAAAGACCTTTCTTATTGCTTTGAAAAAAAAAGTGTAGATACTTCATTTCCCATGGCTTTTCAATAACAAAGACATTGAAGAGACCAAATCATCCCCCCACAACATCCCACAGCACATCCCCACCGTGTATTGAGAATATCTCTCGATGATGGCATTATCATTTCTGATATTATCATCGGAAGATGTTCTCAATACACGACGGGGATGTGCTGTGGGACGTTGTGGGGGGCTGATTTGAACTCGACAGTGAAGGTCTATCATTGTTAATGTATTACCATACATAGTTTAAAATTTCAACCTTACCCTTCACTAATTTATTTTTTAAAAAGTAATTCTAGCTCCTTACTCTTCTTGGACAAAATATACTACTTTAAAAAGCATGAATAGCCTCAATAATATTTTTGGAATTTTTTGAGGACAAAATTTACCCTCCATACCTCATCATTAAATTCTATTAATTAAATCCATACATAATAAATCAATAATTCCAATAACAAAAAAACATACTTTTAAAATCTACCTGAAAAAAAAAAGTAGTGTTTTCATCTAGGCAGTGGTAAGAAATTAAACCATTTCGGGAGAAATGGGTCAATCCATGTTGTCACAATTAAATAATAAAATTGAAAAATAGATGAGATGCAAAAAAATATAGAAATTAAAAAAATGGGAGCATTATTAATGATGTAACGTTTTCTGGTCACGTATCATTTTTTGGCTAAGTACCTCGTCTACTCCCAAGTGGCCGATGACTCGGAGGCTGAAGTGGAGCTCCCTAGCGTAGCGCAACCTGGCTGCTCCCGAGTTGAAAAGGATCTGCTCATCTTTATAGACGACGGGAACTGAGAGACCTGCATGAACTGAATCAGAGAACCCGGGAGTGTTTACCCGGCGAGGTCACTCTGATGGCTAAGTCAACACTTAGTAGCGAGCTGAGAATGATATTAGAGAGTGAGAGAGCTAGAGAGTCGGGGTTACCATCCATTTTTCTCGCATCCTCCTATCGCCCTTGGGGGGTGAGGTCTTTATATACTGGAGTCCCCGTGCGTTTGGTGGAGCAGTTCCTGGATTCCCGTTGTGATGGAACCTGCTTTCGTGTTAAGTGGGCATAAAGCCACCAACTGGTATGGTTGCCCATTTCCGCCTAAATCAGGGAGTGGGTGAGCTAATACAGTCGTTACAAGTCACAATCCCGTAAAACGCGAGGTACGGTGGTGAGCTCCTCGGGGTTCTCATGTGGTGGTCAGTCTGACTAGGAAGCGAGCTGTCTGTAAGGTGCCAGGGTGCATGATGGTGAGCTGCCTAGTGGCAAGCCGTCTATAAGTGCTGCATGGTGGCGAGCTGCCTAGTGGCGAGCTGCTTGTAAGTGTTGAGTTGTTTGGGTGGCGAGTTGTCTAAGTTTCCAGGCTACATGATGGTGAGCTGCCTAGTAGCGAGCTGTCTATAAGTGATGCATGGTGGCGAGCTGCCTAGTGGCGAGCTGGGCTGACCGGGTGCCGAGCTGCCCGGTTTCACGAGGCTGCACCTAATTGTCACGAGGTGACAGGTGTCACAATGTCACTGGAGGGCCAAATCCGCCCTCATCATTTGCCCCCCACTCCCGAGCTAAAGATAACTCGGCGAAGGGAGTAGATTTCTCCTTTTGGCCCGTAATCCGACGAGCTCGTAAGCACTGATTTAGTTTCTTAGGCTCTGGGAGCGACTCGCAATCCATTCCTGGATTTTCCCCATGTCGAAGATGCGATTGTGTCTTAAGTGGTGCCGAGGTCTCTGCTAGTTCGGTATTTTAGTCCTTAGGCTTGGGAGCGACTTGTAGTCCACTCTCCTTGACTTTGCCCATGCCGACGAGGTGGCTGGGTCTTGTGCAGTATTGTAGTCCTTAGGCTTTGGGAGCGACTCGTAGTCAACTCCTAGACTTTGCCCAGGCCGAAGAGGCGACTGGGTCTTAGCTCGCCCATGCTAAAGAGGCGACTGGGACTTGTGAAGTGTCGAGCTGCCTGTGAGGTGTCGAGCTGCTTGTGAGGTGCCGGGCTGACCAGGTGTTGAGCTGCTTGTGAGGTGTCGAGCTTACTAGGTGCCGAGTTGCCTGTGAGGTAACGAGCTAACCAGGTGCCGAGATGCCTGTGAGGTGTCGAGCTGCCTTTGAGGTGTCGGGCTGACTAGGTGTCGAGCTGCCTATGAGGTGTCGGGCTGACCAGGTGCCGAGTTGCCTGTGAGGTGTCGAGCTGCCTATGAGGTGCCGGGCTGACCAGGTGCCGAGGTCTCTGCCAGTTCGGTACTTTAACCCTTAGGCTATGGGAGCGACTCGTAGTCCACTCCTTGATTTTGCCCATGCCGAAGAGGCGACTAGGTCTTAAGCGATGAGGAAGTCTTCCAGGCCGCCAAGCCGCGCGCAGGCTGCACCAGACCGCTAGGTCGCGCCAGGCTGCGCGGTGGGTGTCTTAGAGCTATCATTGCGCTGCATCCGCCTCGTAATGCGAGAGCTTCAGTTTCTAAAAAGTGAGGATTTAGCTTTATGGGAGAAAAGGACTTAGCTTTTTGTAGGATGAGAACTTAGCTTTTGGTAGCATGTTCCCATAGACGGTGCCAATTGATGTAACCGTTTCCAGTCACGTATCATTTTATTTTTTTGCTAAGTACATTGTCATCCCGTCTGCTCCCAGGTGGCCGATGACTCAGAGGCTGAAGTGGAGCTCCCTAGTGTAGTGCAACCCGGCTGCTCCCTGCAGGAGATGATATGCTCATCTTTGTGGACGGCGAGAACTAGTTGCCTGCAAGAACTGAATCAAAGAACCCAGGGTGGCTTACCCGGCGGGGACACTCCGATGGCTTTGTCAGCACTTAATAGTGAGCTGAAAATGATATTAGAGAATGAGAGAGCTAGAGAGTAGAGATCACACCTCATTTCCCTCTTTTTTTGCCTACCTTCGCCCCTGGGGGTGAGGTCTTTATATACTGGAGTCCTCGTGGGTTTGGTGGAGCAGTTCTTGGATTCCTGCTGTGATGTGACTTGCTTTCGTGTTAGGTGGGGCTAAAGCCACCAACTGGTGAGGTTGCCCATTCCCGCCTGAATCGGGGAGTGGGTGAGCTAATATAGCCGTTACAAGTCATAATCCTGTAAAATGCGGGGTACGGTGGTGAGCTCCTGGGAATTATCATGCGGAGGCCGAGCCGCCTGTGAAGTGTCAAGCTGTTTGGGTGGCGAGTTGCCTAGTGGCGAGCTGCCTGTAAGGTGCCAGGCTGCATGATGGTGAGCTGCCTAGTGGCGAGCTGTCTGTAAGTGCTGCATGGTGGCGAGCTGCCTGTGGCGAGCCGTCTGTAAGTGTTGCATGGTGGCGAGCTGCCTATAAGTGCTGAGTTGTTTGGGTGGCGAGTTGTCTAAGTTTCCAGGCTACATGATGGTGAGCTGCCTAGTGGCGAGATGTCTGTAAGTGCTTCATGGTGGCGAGCTGCCTGTGAGGTATCGGGCTAACCGGGTGCCTAGCTGCCTGTAAGTGGCGAGCTGCTTGTGGCGAGATGCCTGGTTGTCACGAGGCTGCACCTAGTTTTCACGAGGTGCCAGGTGTCACAATGTCATTGGAGGGCCAAATCCGCCCTCAACAATTAACATTATATATTCGACATATTAAACAATAATAAGTATGATAAATAAGAATGTTTTTATTAATGATGGAAATGGAATGTAA